TGACGGTCTGTTCTGGGTGAGTTGTGTTGCTCACAAGAGCTGAGTCGGAGTGGGAGAGGCCACGCCAACCTTCGCACGCAGGCCCTGGATAGGGGAACCCTGGTATCTCATTCAAACTCAAGCAGGGCTCTGGAAAACTCTATGGGAACAGCTTGTTTCCACATCCCCAATGAAGCTACTTGGCCCTTCAGTTCCATGTGAGCAGGGATATTACTCAGTTCATTCAAAGGCCACACAGAAGGTCTTCTCATCGAGCAGAGAGCTTCCTGCGTCCAGGCTGTGAACTTGTAAAATGTCTTAGGCCAGTACTTCTCACACTTGTATACGTACATGCATCATCTGGAGATCTTGTAAAAATACAGAAGCTGGTTCAGTGGGTCTGGGGTGGGGTCTGAACTTCTGCATGTCTGAGGTTGATCTGCTGGTTTGTGGATATGAGGCCTCTGACATTGCCTAACTCTGAGCACTGTGTGTCACTCTGGTAGGAAACTGATCACAGAAGTGCACACTGTATGTCACACCAAATTACGAATCCCCAAAGATCTGAGGCCATGGTCTAATTCATCCTAATGCCTCACATCACAATGACAGCGAGATGGGCTTCAGTGGGCTCCAATGAGCACTCTGAGCTCCCCCATCAGCGAGCAGGGAGAGAGGTCATACCTGCTGGAGAATTAGACTGTTTCACAGCCCTAGGGTGGCATTAGGGTCAGGGGTAGGCTCCTGTTCCTTAGGGAAGGAAGGCCCAGGGTCTCACAGTCCATGGCTCTAGGGAGCTCCTCAAGATAAGAACTCCTAACTGAAAGAAAGGCCTCAAAGTCCAGGTTAGCAGCAGGAAAGATGCAGTTGTGACAAAGCTTTCACATTTTCCACCTGGGTACAAATTCTTCTGATAAATAGCTGAGCCCTCATTGCAATATCACAAGTGATGGAAATGTCCTTGCCTCTGGCACACTTTCTAGATGTTTCCAAGATGCCTGTGTACCCACAGCTCATTAACCATACAAAAGCTGAGTGGTCTTTTAAAAAATATAAATCTGATTCTTTCATTCTTCTACTTAAAATTCTCCTAGGGCTTTCTATTTCTCTCAGGATAAAGCACAAACTCTAGAAACCTTGCACAACCTGCCCCTGCCCCACACTTCCCACATGGTCTCATCATCATCCTCCGTGCTCATGAAGCTTTAGTCACTTTGACCTTCTTCCTATTTGTTAAACATGCCAAAGTCATTCCTACCCCAGGGCCTTTGCATTAGCTGTTTTTCTTCAAGGGTCATCGCTGCTTTGTGCTCAAAGACTCTGGCCACAGGCAAAGTTTCAAAAGCAGAGCAACTCCACAATGAGGTATAAACCTTTGATTTTGTGGGTTTGACATGGACCTGTTTTTCTCATTCTTAACCAGTTGAAGCCCAGAATAATCTGACACCTTCACATTACAAAGAGGGGATGTAAACCCAGAGACAGAATGAGAAATAATCAAAGCCACTCAGATTTGACAGAACTGTCCAAGGATGGACACAGAGCTTGTGACTTACACTCATGGGGAAGGAAATTTAATTTTTAAATTTACTTGAACCTATGCACTGAATAGTATTCACAATATTTACATAGCCATAACCCTCCTTTACTACATGCACTGCCCCTTTTCTTGGCTTTTGACTTTGCCAAGAACAAGGTCATATATAGGAAGGTACAGAGAATCCTAGGTTTCTCTTCTAGTTGTTTTATCCTATTTTTCTTTTTCACAAAATATACTATTTGAGACCAGAAGACGGTGACTTGTAATTTATGGGTTCCTCTCTAGAAATTACAACCAGAACCTAATTTTAAAAATCAAATTGGTTTCATCTAATTAAATTTGGAAATTGCCTCATAAACACATACTCTGTTATAAATGTCTTTAAAAGCAAGGTCTCCCGCTTACGATCTGGGGCAGGAATGGGTTGAGCCCAGCATGGAAGGGACTCCCCGTATATCTGCTCAGGAGGACAAATTTTCTTATCCATTGCTGAGATTTTCTAAAGAGTAGTGTGGTCTAGAGCAGTGTTTCTCCAACTTTCATGCCCATGTCAGTTACCCAGAAATCTTGTTCACATAGAGACTCTGATTCAGAAGGTCTGGTGGGGTCTGAGATGCTGTGTTTCTAACCAGCTCCCCGGTCATGCGCCAATGCACGGACCACACAGAGTGAGGGCCAAAGGCATCCACACCTGAATTCAGGACTCACAAACTGCCACCTCAGCTATATGACCTTGGTCTTCACACTTGACCCCTCTAAGTTTCAATTTCCATATATTTATGCATTGTGAGAGCTAGCATTTATTGGTGCTATTTCTAAATGCCAAGCACAACGTTAAACATCTATCTATGTTTATAAATGAAGATAAATGAGAGGCTACTTGATATAGCCACGGTCACACAGCAAGTAAGTGACAGAGCTAGGGTTCAGAACTAGGCTGTCCAACTTCAAATGCCAGCGTTCTTACCTTTTGAGACCCCACTAGCTTTCGATGCACATGGTCACAGCCACGTTTATGCTCAAAATACAATGACCTCAACCCACAACCTCCTTGGCTCCCTTCATGGCAACATCCAAGACGTTTTAGCATATTCCTGAAAGGTGACTTCCAGCAGTCACACACAAGTCAGACAGGTGCAGCCTTCCATCGCTGGTTCTCTGTAATCACAGCCCAGAGAGCAGCCAAGAAGCTGCCTGAAGTTGTCTTGCCCGAGCTGTGCCCGGGACAGCCTATCACAGACATGCCAGCATCTCCTCAAGTGGTCTTTGGAAACCTATAAGGTCAAGGGTTCACGCATGAGTGAGAAGGGTGCTCTGTGCCAGGCTATGCCCACCTTGGTGACCAGAACTCCAGAGAGTGTGCCACGTACTGAGGCCTCAAGTCAAGGAGCTGTGGCTCAAACACAGCATGCCGCTCACAGCTGGGATTGCTCCCTTACTCTCTCTCTCTACCCATTCCTCTCTTCTTCTTATAGAACAGCATGAGTGGGTTTCCTAGCCCAGCCAGGGTCCGTCCCATTAGAGCAAGAAGTATATTGCTCCCAAGGAAGGAATTGGTCTGTGCAAGGACAGGAGTCCCCCTGCCACATGGCCCAGCCCAGTGGTTTCAAGTACAGCTAGGTACAAGCACCAGGGCCTTTTCAGGACAGAGCTGTCCTCAATTCAAGGCTAAAAGAGAAAAAATAAGGAGACTCATGAGTTATTCATAAAGCCAAATTTATTCAATTTGAAGGACTGCCTTTTATTCTTAAATTATGTCCTTTCTATATTTTTGAAATTACGTCTTTTATGAAATGATGTTAATAAAAAATGGTAAAGAACTATATGTTGGTCCTCCAAACCATTCAAGATGTTACTGGCCTGTGAATTCCAAAAATCTGGAACATCTGGCATAGAGAGCCATTTACGTAACAGTACCAAAGACCTTAACTGCTTAAATTCTGGGTCCCTGCTCTCAGCTTTACAGAGAGCGGGTTGCCATACACAGGAAATGTCTGTTTCGTGTGTGCATGTGTGTGTGTATGATTGTAGCATCTGCTTCACAAAGAAGGATCCGTAGATTGAAATGGGTTTCCAGCCCTCTCTTCCCCAGTGAGGTACTACTGAACAAACATGTCCTGGGCAAGGTTGACATGGTCCCTCCCCTCCTCTGGCAGGTTTGCCAGGAAGGAAGCCTCTCCCAACCATGTGGCCCAAGATGGAGCATGAGACAGCTTTCCTTTTGAGGGATGCTAGATGTGGTGAGTCAAGGCATTTTCTGAAGATGTACATGATGGATAGTTTTCTCCTTCCTTGGAGAGCTCTGAAGTCCTTCCAGATTTCTCTAGAGAGCTCTTGCATCTACCAAATTCATCCTAAATATTTCTCTCTCACCAATACTCTTTAGCTATCTTCCCTTATGTGGGGATATTCATCCCCAGCTCACTCTCAGTACCTCTCAGTACCTTTCTGCTTGAGCCCTCTGGGTCTGTGGTGCATTCTAGCCTGAGGATGCTTGGAACCGTTGCTGCCTCACAGTCTTTGGAGGAACCCTACCACTCCTACTCCCACTTTACAAGGGAGGAAGCTGCCCAGAGAGCAGAGTAGCTGCCAGAGGTCACGGGAGACCTTGGTGGCACTGCCAGGACACTGGTCTCCATCCCTGCAGCGTCAGCTTCCTGCTCTTCCCTCTGCACTGCTCTGCTCTCCAGCATGCCACAGTCTCCAGGGGTCTCAAAATATGCAGGGTGGGACAAGAGTCACCTCTGACCACATCTCAGTACTAGAATTCAGCTCTCTCAGCCTTATCGAAGGTTCATTGTTTGTGTTTGTTTTACAATGGACTTCTACACACTTTATTCTAAGTCTGAAAGTTTTCAGGGAGCCACACTGTGTCGGCTGGATGGGTACCTTCCTACCTGAGGAGGTTCCACCTCTGATATGACAAGGCCCTGCTAATGCGTGGTTGGGGATGGGGTAGGGTGGGAGGGCTTTCTGATGCCATTACCCGAGTAGCAATAAAATATGCTGTGGCCACACAACGATATCAAGGCTCAAGAATCATGCCGCCCCAGGGTAGAGAATGACACTGGGATTCGCTTGGAAGCCCTGAAACTGACAGGTGTAGGAGGGGCATCAAGTGAGTATTATGGTTTTTCAGATAAACTGAACTATCACAACTGTTTGCCAGGTGAGGATCTTCTTGGCTGTGCTGGGACAGTCTGCCTCCTTGTGTGATAATTCCTTTCTCAAGAGATTGCTAATCACTTCAATGTGTGGGATTGTCCAGTTTTCTTCATCACTAGGGCTTGTCAAGCAGCTTAGCTGTATACCCTCGTGTTTTCTTCCCAGCCGCATTGTTGGAAACTCTGGGTAAGTTGTGTCTCTCACTCACCTTCATGCCCTCAATGGAGCTCTGACCACAGCAGGAATTCGCCAACTTCAGGCTGAAGTAAACTGAATAAAGCCAAGCCAAGTGATAACAGTGAAAGGGTCCTCTTACCTCATAGAGTGTGATGACCCCATTAGTCTCATTGGGAGGTTTCCACTGGATGTAGATCTTCTCCTCAAAGGGCCCTCCTTGGATGGATTCTAGGGGCACAGCTCCTGGAACTACAAGAAGGGAAAAAGTTAAGAAGCTGATGTCACCTTCCATCCCATTCCCCCAGCCCCATTGCCCTAGAACAGCAGTTGACCAAGCTCTCCTATAAAGGCTCAGACGGTGAATACTTTAGGCTTTGTGGGCCATGCAGTACCTACTGCAACTGCTCAGCTTTGTGCTTGTAGCACAAAAACGGCCGCAGACAATCCATAAACAAATGGGCATGGCTGCTTTCCAAAAAAACTTTATTTTTTTTTAATTTTTATTTATTTATGATAGTCACATGAGAGAGAGAGAGAGAGAGGCAGAGACATAGGCAGAGGGAGAAGCAGGCTCCATGCACCGGGAGCCCGACGTGGGATTCGATCCCGGGTCTCCAGGATCGCGCCCTGGGCCAAAGGCAGGCGCTAAACCACTGCGCCACCCAGGGATCCCCCCAAAAAAAACGTTATTTATAAAAAAGGCAGTAGGCTGGTGTTGATCTATGGGCCATAGCTTGCTAACCCCTAACCTTGCTCTCCTGGATAGCCAATGGCTTCTTCTCTGTAGACTGAGCAAGTCTGTTCTTGAATTAAGCTGATCAATGTAGGGAGGACACCAGTAAGCCTCAGCATTCCCAGCAGGTGGGGGTCTAGAATTACACTCTTGCCTTAGGATTGGTAACTGAAGAATGTAAAGTGAGCTTCAGTACCATTCCCCTGACCCTGCCAAGTTGTCTCCAACTATAAAGGAGTCTCCAACTATTCCTCAGTTTCCTAATTCCTGAATCCAACAGGATCCATGTGTCTTGAAATCTCAAACCAATTACGTGAAGTCTGTCTCATTGCAAGAAGGCAGCTAGTTTGTCTCATTGCTGAGTCTCCGATGCCTGGCACAGGGTAGATGCTTAATAACCATTTGCTGGTTGGTGGAGTAGATGAATAAATGACCCATGCCAGCATGTGTCCTAATGAGCAAAACCTTTCCTAGGCTGCGTCTGTACCCAGGTCAGTTTTCCTGTCAGCATCCTCCTTCTGGATTCCAGCATCATTATGACAGTCTGGAAGATGCTGAACCATAAAATAAATGATTCTCCAAACTTTCAGTTATAACCCCCTAGGGAATCATGAATTCATGTAAATCATTACTGGATCTATTTATATTTTGGCATTATAAAAGCAGGTACTTTTACTAAGCACTTACTCTTTGATCAGAATTTTACATACATTATTTCGTTTAAGCCACAAAACAGCTCTGCCCAGTATGTATTATCTCCTTTGTGCTGATAAGGGAACTGAGGCTAAGAGAATTAAATAACTTGCTCAAGGTCATCTGGCTCTTAAGTTGTAAAGAGGGAACTGAACACCTGTCTGTGAGCTTCAAAGCATATACTCTTAATCATCATGCTATGCCTCTCTCGATATAGCCTTGGCCATATGTTGCAATCAGTTCCCTATTGTTAAATTAAAATATATTTAGTTTTTCCCATTATGGACATGATACACAAAATTTGTTGAATATTAAGAATATACAAAAAGGGTAAAAAAAGGAAAAGAAAATCACTCATAATCCTCATAACTGGAGATATTTTTTCCAGTATTTTTATGCCTATGCATATACATACTTTATTTTTAAAAACTGAATTCCTACTGTGCATAGAGTGTTGTGACCTTCTTTTATCACTAAATGAAACATGGATTTTTAAAAAATCCTTAAATGTTCTTTGGAGCCACGCATTTTAATGCCCCATTATAGTCACCATTATTACTGGACGTTAAAATTGGTTTGAATTTTTTATGATGATAAGTAACATGGCCATGAGAATTCTTATAAATAAGTATTTTCATGAAACTCTGCTGGTCTCCCTAAGGTAAATTCTTAGAAATTAATTTATTGGGCCAAAGTACACAAACTATATTATTTTTAAGGCTTTTGACGCATATTGTCAGATTGCCTTCCACAGAGTTTATACCATTCTCAGTTCCCCAACAGAAGAACATGACTATTCCCAATCCTTGCCAACAGTGACTATTTAAAAAATTAAGTGTATGTGTGTGTATCCTTTTTAGAAAACTGGAGAGTGAAGTTTTTTTTCAGTTTAATTGGACATTTGCATTGATTCTTTTATGAATATGCTCTTTATACCCTGTTCTCATTTTCCTCTATGGCTCTTCATTTTTGTCCATCTTGTCTTATGGGTTTGTAATTATAATCTGTTTTTAAAAGACATAAGCTGTTTTTTCCTTTTTTTTTTTTTGCATGGGTTGCAAATATTTTTGTCAGTTTTTCATCTGCTTCTTGAATCTTTTAGGTATGTAGAAGCTTCTAAGTCATCAGATCTCTAATTGCTTTCCCTTATCTGTTCATCCTTGCCACAAATATCAGGACTTTGAGGTAGGAGCACAAAGTTTTGGGAGGATTATAACAAGCAGAAAGAATCTAGTCCAGCAAGTTAGGATACTAAGTGGAAGATAAAAGTCGACAGATTAGCAAAAGTTCCTAGGCCAAAAGTACAGAGGGTGGGTGTTGGAATGTGGTGGATTGCTTTGTGAGTGCAAAAGTGGAAACAGTAGGGCCATCCTAGAGAGAAAGGATGGTTAACTCATCGACGAAGTGACCAGGGTATAGAAGAGAGGCAAACGGTGCATGAGACTTGCTGCAGCTGAGCGAATGTGATTTGGTGGTGATGGATAAGAGTGCAACAGAAAAAAGATTCAAGGAAGACCCCAGCTCGTCTGTTTTGGATACCTGGAGTGGGTCAGAGTGCTGTTCCTTGAAAGGAAGCCTTATAGGAGGGCTAGTTTTGGAAAGGAAGCTGATGAGTTTTGTGATGCTTCATTTGAGGCGTGCATAGGACACCCAAATGGCAACACTGAGTAGCAGTTGGAGATATGAGATTGGGTGACTGTGTAGGGGGGAACCAAAGAAGCAGGTCCAGGATTAAGCCAAAGGGAACTACAATGTTAACAGTTAGGAGGAAACAAGGAAACAGAAACTGGGAAGCCATGTTCAGAGAGGCAATAAGAAAACCAGGAATGTGGGCTGTCATGGGAGCAATCGAAGGTGGATCTAGAAGGGCCTGGTTCACAGCAATGGACGTGACTGGGTAGTCATGTGAATTGTGAACTTAAATTTTCCCACTGAATGTTTTGTCTTCAAGGTAACCTGTGACCTATGCAAGAGTAATTTAGGGAGAAAGCTGGCCTCATAGCCCTCTTGTGGACAGAGGAGAAAGGGGAAGGTGAGGGACTATGCCCAAACAAGTCAGTAATCTGGAAGGACAGGGATGCAGGAAGAGCAGGGGTGCTGTGGACCCCAGTAGCGGCCCCTCCCAAAGGCAGGAGAAGTTATGGCAGGATTGTAGGCAACCAGGAAAATTAAACTGAAAAGTCAGAAGAATAGAAAAGAGACAGGAAGTGACTGGTGGTGGTCCTGTCCTGAAAAGGCAGGAACAGCTGTGGATGGAGAGAAAGCACCTTCCCTCTTGTGAGAGAAGACAAAAAAATGTGCAGCTGCTCTGGAGTGGAGAGTTGGGGTATCCTTGTGGCTCCGTCTTCTTGACAAGCAAGGGTGAAACCATTTACCACCAGGCAGGAATTTTGAGAAGCTTTAAGAGGTGCAACCGAGCTGAACAGAGAAACGCAGATGCCAGTCTTAACAAGGGTCTATCCAGTGGAGGCTGTTGAGTGTGAATATCAAGCTGCCAGCACTCAGGCCACCTGTTCTCTTCCTTCAATTCCAGTTTGGAGCAAATTCTCTTTCTCACCCCAGATCAGAAGAATAGTCATCTGCATTTTCTTCTACTTGATTTATCCTCACCTTCTTTTTGAACCTAACTCATTAATCCATCTGGGATGTATTTTATACATTGCACAAAGTGGAAATCTAACTATAGTTCTTTACAGTTTTCTTAAGACAATTAATTGACTGGCCAGAAGTTTCCCCAGTGATTTAAAACACCATTTTACTAGCATGTTCAATTATTTTATATGCTGGCACGTGTTGTGTGGCTCCATGTTCTGTTTCACTGAGCCCCGGCCTCTTATTCTGACAGTATCTCTCTGCTGTGTTCATATAACACATTTGAATAGTTGACAGAACAAGCCCTTTTCTTCTATTATTCTTCTTGTGCAAAGTCTTCTGGGCTCTCACTACCCATTTGTTTTTCCAGAAGAACTTTGGAAGAATTTTACAAAACTTCAAAAATGTTCCATCAGAACTTTTATTCCAGTTGTATTCTTCACTTCTCTGAGGGGCAAATGACACCTTTTTATAATGGGTCCTCTCACCAGTAATGCTGTACAAATCCTCACTTATTAATGCTCCTTTTTATGCCTCTTACTTAAAAATACATTTTTAAAATTTCTTACAAATTGCAGTCCTAAGACTTCACTGCTTTTGTTCATATTATTTTTGGCTCTGTTAAAAAGCATATTGCTTTTGACTATTATGAAATCTATCAAAAGACAAAAGTACAAGTAATAAATGTATAGTTTATAAAGTAATTATAAAGTAAACACCCATGTACCCACTATCCCGTCTAAGAAATAAAACATCATTGTATCACTACAGCACCCTACGTGTCCCATACTGGTGACTTATCTCTCTCTCATTCAAGAATAGAAAACACCCAGTCATGTACTACCCCGAATTTTGTTAGTCATTCTCTTATATTTGGAGTCGTAAATATATACATGTATCTCAAGACAATATATAATTTCATTTCTTCTAGTTTTCTTTATACATACGAGCAACTCAATATTTGTATTATATGTTTTGCATTTATCATGCAACATTGAGATTCATCCATGTTGATATATATAGTTTTATTTCACTCATTTTATGAATATACACCTATTTTGCCATTCTATACAGGGTGAGATGTACTATATAGATGGATGGTAGGACTACTTCTCAGAAGAGCTATCTTAGGACACAGCTCCTATATTTTTGGACATTCTTGAACATTTATAAGATTTCACTCAGGTTAACCTAGGAAGAAGATAGATAGACTAAGGGTATTAATGTCTTC